GACCGCCGCTCCCTGCTCGGTCGACCACGATGCAGAAAAATGCCTCCTTCGTCGTTTTGCTTGAACTTCGCCATCGTCGATCCTGTTCATCCTGTTCTAACTTTGTTCCTCTTCATTCTGAAGTGTAGGGCATGCCTGATAGTTAGGCTTCACATATCCTAACAATATGTATCTTAGATCTCAATGCCAATTATAATACTTACATACGAGTGTTGGTTAAAATAAATTTTATGTATGAGCTTAACTTATGTGATTCTACTTTAATAGAATTAGATAATTTAAAATTTTTTTACACCTAAACTCTCTCACAAAACTAAAAAAGAGTAGCAATGCTATAGCTGTGTATATCTAGAGGACCACATATATCTTGAAAATAAACAAAGAAAACCATACAAATAAAAATCATATTAATTACCCCCACACACCCACTATTTCCAAAACCATCATTCTCAATCTCCATCTATAATATTTTTCACATACCAAATTAAACTCCTAGAGTTTCCCCCTCACCAACTACACCATTGGTCAACCCTAGTTTTTCCTTAGTACTAAAATTGTATAATATTCATTGTGATGAGAACTCACCTAGGTCCTCTGCCTGCCTTGAACGCCCAATAAAAATAATATATTAAGTCTTTATAGTTAGTTAATAATGAGATCATGTCATTATAAATAAATTAAGTAAAGATTAATAATTATTGAGAATGTACTATGTTTCCCTGGCATCCATTGCAAACTTGTTAGTTCTTTATTCCTAGCTCAAAGAGATTTTCAAAATTAATCTTGAGGGTTACTTGCATTAAAAAAGTCATGTTACAGGGTCCATACAGTCTGTTTTTTAGTTTAAGATTGTCAACGCATGTTGTCTCTGATGCATATCAGTTATGGGTAATAATATAATTTGATTGATCAAAATATATCCTAATATATTTCTCGACTCTTGTCTTGTCTTTTGCTATTTATTATATACCAACATGATATCACAATTGATGTAAACGATGAATACTCTATTGTAAAAATTGCCCAGGAAAAGGATAAAAGTGGAAAATGATTGATATTGGCTCAATTAAATATGAAAAAAAGAAGAAATAAATGATAATATTTTCTAAATATTTTATAGTAAAACATAATTTTTTGAGTAAAATTAGAAATCTTTAGAAGGGATTTTCATGCAAACTTTTTAATATGCTTATATGAATGATTTTGTCATATAAAATTATACTTGAGTCTTCATTGATCTTTAATATTTATTTTGCTATTTTAAATCTAACAATAATTAACATGTCTTGTAGTCTTGTGAAAAGCATGTGCTTTGTGCCGAGCTTATACAAACCATCTTAATATTAAGTATTTGGTTATATTTTTATTAACACATTAATAATATAATATTGTATTTTTTTAATTTAACACTATATTTAATGACTAAGTAAACAAATTGGAGATCAATAACTTGATCCGATAAACAAATATGTTACTTGAAGTTTGATATATATAAATTTAAAAAATAATGTTGTATATGCAAGTATATAAAAGGGCAAAATGGCCAGATTGGCATATTTCTTTGAGGCTTGGTGACATGTTGGTATATTTTCTTTTAGTTTTGTCAATTTGACATATTTTTTAACTCCAGCGTCATATAAGCCTTAAATTTGGCCGGAGTTACTATTCCGGCCAGAGCTGATGAGATTTTTTGCAAAAAAACCCCATCAAATACAATTTCATGCTCCTAATCCCCCTCTCCCTCCTCCTCTTCATCATCTTCAACCTCCCCCTCTCCTTCCTCCTCCTCATCCTCTTCAACCTCCCCCTCTCCCTCTATGCCTTCATTCTCATCTCAACTCCCCAAACCAAAATCCCTTTTTCTTCAACCTCCCCCTCCCCCTCCATGTCGTTCGATGCTCATGGGTAAACTGCACACAAGGCAGCCGAAAAGATGAGGGAGGGACGAAGAGATGGGGGTTGCGGTCTTGCCATTGGAGGTAGTGGGTCAAGGGGTCTGGTTCCACGTTGTGCAGTAGGTTTTCATCAGAATTGAAATTGCCGCATTTAAAGCATTGCTGCTATAGAGCAAGGAGAGACAATCAGTTATGGCATTTACTATAGTCAAAACAACAATGAATGGAAAAAGGGGTGAGATAAAAGCAGTTATTAAAACATTTATTAGCATCTAGTTTTCTATTATACATGAATTCGGTCCTAGCAAACTGTTATTGTTGTAATGATACATAACTATATGTCAATTGCCTAGTTATTCAAACTATTAAAGTAAATTTAGACTATTTCTACATCTTAGGCCAAAAATTCAGTTAAAGAGAGACAAGATAAAAGCATTGATAGAAATGCAAGGTGCCGCTCCCACAAAAGCACTTTTGTTCTCAAATCATTCAACATACTTCACCAGTTACCTCAGCTTGCAATCAGCTATCATATAAGCAACGGAAGATATAAGTATTGCTCAACGCCCTATTCCATCTTGAAATATGCTATATTCTGAGCAATATCCCTGTCATGTCCAAGTAATGTTTTCCTCCATCTTGGGTCAGCCCAAATATAACGTCAATCCATCTTGATCCAAACCCACAACATTGTCTATTATATTATAATTTTCTTATATAGATTTTATTCAGCTATGTAGGGTGTGTTCATGACATTGCAATAAAAATAATAGATGAACGTCCCTGTCTGAGAAAGAGTTGGTTTTTTGATTCGATGATTAAAAACATCAAGCATAAATTAAATTATAGTATTTAAAAGAATATCAACTGTCAGGTTATGCATTTTTAGGCTTATTATGATTAACTACTGCCAATATCATCCATAAGACCCCTTGACCAACCGCCTCCAATGGCAGGCCCTCGACCCCCATCTCTTCGTCCCTCCCTCATCTCTTCGGGCGCCTTGTGTTCAGTTCACCCACGAGCATCGAACGACATGGAGGGAGAAGGGGAGGTTGAAGAGAAAGAGATTTTGGGTTGGGGGAGTTGAGATGAGAATGAAGGCATGGAGGGAGAGGAGGAGGAGGAGGAGGGAGGGAGGGAGGGAGGGAGGGGGGAAAAATTAAGACCTATATGGTGCCGGAGTTGAAAAAATATACTAGTCTGATAAAAAAAAAATACCAACATGTCACCAAGCCACGAAAAAATATGCTAATCTGGCCATTTTGCATATATAAAAGTATATTAATCCCATTTTTACACATATCTATTTCATAATTTTTTTAAAATATTTAAATAAAATTTATGGTAAACATAATAATCCATGTTTATAGATTTTAACTCAAAATAAATATAATTTATTTTATAATAAGAAAATAAATAAAAAAATAAATAGTTTTAATATTTAACCACGTGCACAAAAACTACGCTTAAAGGTCCGAGGCGGCAAGGCGCTTGCGATTCTTTTGCAAAATTGTTTTTCCGACGATAAAATTTGCAGGATTGAGGTTTCTTCTCATTAATGGATGGCGCTGAAGCTGGTTCTAGTTCTAGAGCGATTGATTCGTCTAACGTTGGGTTTCAGGTAAAATTCCTCCTCACTTTGTGTTCTAGGGTTAGGGTTTTTAAAAGTTTCCCTTTTCGTCTAGATATCTGCAATAAATAATTTCATTTGACCGATAATTGGGTGCAGCTCTTGAAGAAGGCCGGTTGGAAGGAGGGCACTGGCCTTGGAGTCTCCGAGCAGGTCAAGATCTTTAACCTTCCCCCCCTTCTCTTTTGGTATACTCTCGTGCTATCAGTGTTAAACTCTAATTTCAAAGGTTTTTTATTTATTTATGTAGAACTTATGAACTAAGATACCTTCTAGTATCCAAATCACGAGGACCAAATGGATAAGTAAGACCTTGAAAACAAGAGCTAGACCGGAGGATGTCCCATTGATACAGCCCAGCCATTTCCATCCCCAATTACAAAATATGGAGACCTAAGCGGAAATAATGACCCCCAAAAAGATGCTTTTTTGGATGTATTTTTATTAATATAGCTTGGTTGCTGGTGGTGTTAAGCAATGCGGATATTGGGGAAGTATTGGACACTCGAAATTCATATCAAGCTGCCGATATTAGGGAAATATCCGGGACATGTAGTAAATATCGGAGTGTCATATCGGATGATGTGTATAATAATACGATGTCCTAAAATGTAATTTAAACATACTTAATGAAATCTAGTCATACAAAAATAAATAATGCATTTCAGATCACTAATCAACTGTGAAAACTTGCTTAAGAGTTAGGAACAAAAGCCTACTATAATTTACTAAACAAATTCGGTTGGCTTGAACTTTTGCTAAAAAACATTAAAGAAAGTTCACAAAACTATGTTTTTTTTCAAGCAAGCGATATAAAAAGACATATCAGCTCGTCATATTGGGGATATATCACCCAAAAATTGTCATAAAGAAGTAAGGGATATTGAGACCATATCGTCTCACGGGAAGCTTATATCAGTTGATATATTAGCTACATTGAGGATATTTAAAATAGTTGGTAAGGGGTGATATAAAGAATTTGTTATTACTATACATGTCATGAAGAAATAAATGGGAATAGAAGAAAATTTTGAAATAGACACATTTTGATATTTATTCGCAAAAATAGACTCACTTCAATTTTTATTTATAGAAATAGAGCCACGTTAGCATTGTTGTGTGCAACTGAGTCGATTTAAAAAGAAAACATAGTTTACTAATTAGATGTAGTTACCAGCCCCGCCTAATTAGCATATCAAAGTTCAAAATAATCATGGTGGGCAACCACGGCTATTCAGAACTTAGTTAAAAAATGATCGTGGTTGCCAACCAAGGCTATTTGGACTTAATTCTCTTCACTAATTAAGCGTGGTTGCCATTCCCGCTAATTAGTAAACTGTATTTATTTTAAAACTTGGCTCAGTTTCAGCAACAGTGCCGATGTAGCTGAAATTGAGTCTATTTTTGTAAATAAAAGTGGAGTGGGTCTATTTCTGTGAATAAGTATTAAAATGGGACCGTAAAATTTTCCATATAAATATAACTTTTAATTGAAATTTATTCAAGCGAGATTTTACTTGATTATTGTATTATTTCCTCTTCGTTTGGTTGTTGGCTATATCTATGTCATGTTTTGCACCTCCAAAATCCTATTCACCATCTAAGTATTCCTACATCAACAAGGTAACCCTGGTAATCATTTTAGTCATTAATAGTTGATTAAAAGGATATTGGTTCTAGGATTAGAAACTAGAGACTTCTTTACAAGTAAAGTGCTAATCCATGTCTTGTTCGTACTCCTACTAGGTTTAAATAACTCGATCTCTCCAATTACTGCTATATATACCCCAGCCCTAGACTGTACTATCTGAATCCTCAAATGTCTTAATTCTCTTCTTGAGTCTCTCATATTCTCTGCGAGCAGATCAGTTGTTTCCAGCTAGAAAACATGACATCCTCTTTCACATATTTTTTTAAAGTTTTGACAGTGGTCATGATCATGATGTTGAGAGTGTTGATGCCTCTAGCAACTCATGCTTAGAATTGAAATATGAAGGTGCATGTGTATCGTCATTACTACAGCTCGCTCTCATTGCAATTGTCATCACCGTCAAATTCCGTCTCTCGTCTTCTAAGGTGCATGTCCCTTCATCAAAAGTGCGCCCATCACGTGTCTCCCCATCTCCATTGCCTAAATATGCAGCTAGGCCATCATATAATACCATCATCAAAGGTATTGTCTCCAACTTTGCATACTACATCATCATCAATTGCATCCCAATTTTCATCATCAATTCATCACCATGAGCATCCCTATCTCCATCATCACAATCGTCTTCGAGGTTTCTACTCCATCGCCCCCTCCATGGCCATCACTTTCTATGGTTCCTACCCCGTATCTGACTCTATCACTATCACTATCTGTGTTTCCTACTCCATCACCATTGCTGTCCATGTTTTCTATTCCATTTCCATCGCCATCTGAGTTTTCTACTTCCTCACCAACTCCATCCCCGTCATTGTTTGACATTCCATTGTCAGTCGATGAAATTGCAACTTGAGTGGGTGTTAGAGCCAACGTTAAAACCTTGTGGGTTTTGTGAAAAATGCACCAAATATTTGCATGTTAAAGTAGTTAGTTGTGGTGAACTAGGATAAGTGGGTGATGGATTAACAAATATTTTAGATTGTGATGGAACCTATGAAGGAATAGGTATTGGGAAGGTGCTTCCATTGTTGATGGCGATGGAGTTAGATGGAGTAGGTACTAGAGTTTTGGATGGTGCTATCGGGTTGTGATGAGGATGGGGTTGATGATAATGGGTAGGAGCCTTTGACGGTGTTGTTAAAGCTGATTAATTGCTTTTAATTTGTTGGTCATTGATCTCAAAAATATTTGTCTGTCTCCAATACTTTCATTATAACAAAGCATGAGAACACCAAGGCTATTTGATGATCCTCTTAGTTGGTTATGTGGCGTATTCCTATTGTATTGACCCGCTCTTAACTATTCTAAATTAATGGTAAGTTTTTCAAATGTGAATTAGGATGGATTGCCTGATGCATTATGGACATGAGACTTTATCTTGGTATCCCTTGGCATAATATATTTTCGTTAACTTTAGAATTCACATGATCTCAAACAAAATTAGAAAGAAAGTTTGTAAAAAATTGTTTTGGTTAATATTCTTGTGATTATGTGTTTTTCAATACAAATAGCTATTCCCGTAACATTTCTTAGCATTGAAGCATTGAAGTAAGCTGCTGTTAGAATTTAAATGTTGGTATAGTGTATTTACAGAATTCTGTTTCCTTTATTGTTAGCTTTTTAAAGGTATTTATTAGAATTAAATCATTTGTACTACGTCAAAATTTTGAAGTTGTACCGAAGAGAGAGGCTTATAATTACCTCAAGTCTTAAGAAGATCCCACATGTTAAAACACCTTTTTAATAGGCCAAATTTTGTATTATTTTACATTGTGGTACCTTTCTTTTAAAATTCGTCTTAAATGTGTGGCTGGTGGAAGTTGTACCTAAATTGCTCCAATATCATCTTAAGATGCCTTTCAATAAACAATAAATTATGAAGCTGTGATTAAGGTCCACATTTATAATTTTATAATTTATACCCTTAAACAATTATTTTATTGCCCCTTTATGTAGATGCTCATCTTATTAAATAGTTTTCTTCACTTACATTTACATATGGTCCTTCGACAACACACGCGCGCACACACACACCCCTTCACACGCATGCGCACGACAGTCACTCGCGCGCACACACTAAAGACAAACAAACAAACAAACTAACCATGGGCTGAATAAGCTGTTCAATGTCAAACGTCTATCTTTATTTAGTGTATACCTTAGTTGTTCTTCTCAGTTTATGCACAGCCCCATCCCTACCATTGTTCATCTATTTTATATGAAAGTCAGTTACCACAGTTGCCAGTTTGATTTATCTTCTCAGTTCTCAGCATCTATTGTAAATGAAATACTTTTACTTTGTCACGTAGCCACAGATCTGAGTGAGATGTCTCCTCTGAGAAGGTCCCTTGCATTAATTCCTCTCTAGCTTTGTAATCTATATCGTCATTCACTTGTATCACAAACCATGGCACTAACTAGAGGCATTGTACTACCCATTCGAAGCATGCCATTCCCTTAAGAAAACCAAGGCAGTGTTGTACCTTCATTGAGAGCATGCTATTGCTTAAGAGATCACAACGTTGAGCTCATGGGTCGTGGCGGGGTCACTAATCTATATGAGAAATCATCCTGGGAGTTTGTTTGAAAATGATAAAGTCCTTTGTATGTTAGTATTTTAGCTTGTGATCTCAGTATAATGAAACCTTTGTGCCTATGACCACGATATGACTTCCTGGGAACGAGTATAGTTGTTTCTGGCTTGCTGCTGTTGACATTTCAAACACACGTCTTTCTTCAGCTTTTATGCTTATATGCGTTGTCAACTTGATTGTTGACATTCTCCTTATTGTGTTCTGTCATAGACTGAAGCGACTTTCGCTGGGCTGGTTAGGGATATTGTTGCGCGGGGGTTTGTTTTGTGCTTTTTAAACTTCATTCCCTGTTTCAGGGTGATTGGTAGTTCAGAAGAAGGATAGAAGGTCTGCTGTGATCTTGTTAACTCGGTGTTGCCTAGCTGAACATATTTCTTATAGATAGTATTAAGTATAGGCTTTCATCTGATTCTGGTATCCAAGCTTTCTTAAGCTGCAACTTTTCCTTTTGTTTTTGTTGTTATACCCACCTTTTTTTTCCTTTGGCTTTTGGCTTTTGTTTTACTTCTGTGGTTGTTGATATTCCCAAATCTTGGGAAAGATCATCACGGATTTTTTATTTCCTCTCTGTTTTCCTTGGAGTTCTGGCGATTTTTAACATTGAATGACAGGTGATGGTTATCAGATTATTTCGTTGATGTTAAATAAATTATCATTCTTCATAATCAGTCTCTCTACATTTTCTTCCATCGCTTTTACAGTTATTCGTCTATAATTTTTAGTCCTGTTGTGTCTCCATGCGTTTACCACATTTCTGGGGTTTCTCTTCCCATCGAAAGGATTAAATGAAATAAACTTGTGTGCAACAGGGAAGGTTGGAACCATTGCCAACTTATGTGAAGACAAATAAGCGTGGCCTTGGTGCAGAGAAAACAACGGAAAAGAATCAGCTGGTGAAGGAACCTAAGACTAAGAAACAAGCTGAACATGTGAGTTGATGATGCTAACATGCTGAAAGAGCATAATCATGATAAAATATTGTTTTGTTTTCCTATCTTATTTGTTTTCCCATCTTACTTGTTCATCGCCTACTTTGAATGGTAATTCTGAATTTGCAAATGCATTGGACCAGATTCGATTGTCAAATAGTGGGGTATCTAATGAATTTAGGGGGTGTTTGGTTGCGCGCAAGTGAGATGAAAGTGAGAAAGTGACTTTTTTAAACATTTTATGTGTTTGTTTGCATGCAAGTAGTTATGAAAGTGAAATACAAGAAAGTGGCCACATAGGATTTAATGCAATTTTGACTTCCCTAAAAGAACTGTTGAAATCACATGAGAGTGACAAAAATGGTAATAAATTTTAATTAAATGATTTTTAATCTAATTTTGCCACAATCATCTTCATATTGCACTTTCAACAATAAATTCGTATTTCAAACAAATATTGTACTTCACTGGCACACTGACGTGGATGTGAAAGTTATTTGCAAAAAAAAGTAACTTACGTAATTTCAATTCACTTTCAAACGGTCAAACACCCCCTTACTGGTTTCATATGAAAGCAGATTCTTGATAATCGTTACCAAGAAAGAATTTTCTAATTAAAATTTGTGTTACTTTACTAATTTATTATTTACTTGGCGGTTTTTTAAAAGGAAATTGTTGTTAATAGCTACAATCGTATATGATAGAAAGGGTTGCTTCTTGCAACTAACAATCATTTGTTCAAGACTATTAGAGGCTGTTTGGCAACCCCCAAAACTAGGCCAAGTTCAAACCTGACCCGGTTTTAACCTATTTTCTGTTTGGGAAAAGCTGGGCCAATTCTGGCCCGGCTTTTTTTAGGTCATTTTTAGCCCCTTAAGCGAGGCCAGATTTGATCCACCCCCTAGCTGGGTCAACTCTGGCCTGATTAAGAGAGTATGGATAGTTGGCCTTGTTTTTGTTGGGTTTGCCAAACAAACCCTTAGTCTAAAATATATATAAACATGTCAATAGTTGATTACTTGATTTATTTTTCAAAGATATTTGGCTATACATACTTAGCATTTTCTTTAATTTGTAAGAGAATATCATTGCTATACTCCTTCACATCAGGAAAATTTGCAGTCCAAGAAGAAACCCAAGTCTGTCTCAAAAAGGATAAGGAAGATGCAAGAGGAGGAAGAACGGTTAAAAGAAAAAGAATTTGAAAGAGCCTTCTTCAGGGAGTTCTGGCCAGATAACGTATGAAGAGGAATTATTTTTTTTTGGAATTTACTTGCGGACCCAACTTATTCAGAACTGAAGTACAGGTACCAAACACTGATTTTTTTCCCCGTCTTGTTTTATTTTGGTCTCCTGCAATGTAGGAGATGACATGAAGCAAACTACATAACTAGAGTTTTGTCTCACATCGATATCACTTTTTCTTTTTGGAACCATAAAGTTGAATTTTATGATCTTAGTTTAGTGAAGTTCAATATGAAAGTTTGTCTCTATGTTAGTCCTGTGATGAAGTAGGTAATCTCTATTTTCTTTTGGGTCTTGTGCGTCTACATGGTTTACATATCCTGGAGTATTAGATTATCCTTGAAGTATATGCATAGCTGAGTAACAATCTAGTTTGGATCTGTTTTCTCTTTCTGGTAAATAGTTATAATTCTCTCTTCTAAAATCATTAAAAAAGAAAAGAAAAGTGGACCGATGCAGCAGAAGATGATGAACCAATTCCTCAATTTTATTTTCCTTCAGTTATGATGCTAACTTTTTGGTTGGAAAAATATTTATTATGCTTTTCGATCTTTTCTTATTGTGGTGCATTTACTTCACAGAACAAAAGAATAAAACATTTTGAAAAGTGATAAAAGGTGATACTAGGAATTCTTAGATAATATTATGCAGCATATTATCAATAGGATATGCTTACATTCTGCAATGTAGATGTTGCTGCCCCTGGTAGGTGTCATGTAAGGAAATTCTGAAGAAAAATATATTATATGTACTGAAAACTTTCAGATTTTTGGCTACTTAAAAGAACTAAACATTCATGTTCTATGTGTATGTGGGTAACTAGTTATTGTGGTAGATAATGTACATAACCAGTCGGGAAACTGGTGGAAGAGGAGAATTAGGATGATATTTATTGACTTAAATCTCAAGTAACATTTTTAGGACACATTAATCAATTTTAGTGAGTCATATCTTTTTTTCCATGTCAAGCATTTAAATCTGTTTTTTGTGTTTTCTCATATTAGACCCTAAATTCTATCCTATTTTTATATTAGTTCTTCAAACTTCAAAGCTTCATATTTTATATTTTGCACCCCCAAATCCATTAAGTTGTTTAAAATGGGGGTGTCAACTTAATTGATTTGGGGTTGTAAATTACAAATATAAAGGTGTATTTTCAAACACTTAACATATTTGGGGGTGTAAATTACAAATACGAAGATTTGAGGGCCTAATATAAAAGTAGGATAGAATTTAGTTTATAATATGAAGAAAACCCCTCTTCTCAGTGCAGATAATCATGGTTCTGAATACCAATGTTTGGGACATATCGGACGGCCAATATCAAAATTAGACTGTAGATATTGGAGACATTTAATAAACATTGGAGGGATATATCGGTTGATGTGCATGTATGATAGTCTTAAAATCTAATCTAAGCATCCTAAATGAAATCTGACATACAAATATGTATGCATATCATCTACTGTAGTAGACTAATAGTAATATTTACTAAAAAACCTGTTTTTCTAAGATATCCACAGTACAATGTGGATTTTGGCTGTCAAATATGTCCCAGCATCCCATATTTAGAACCATGCTTCTATATTCTTGCGAATTACAAGTTTAAACGGAAGTCTATGGAATTAGGATAAAAATGCACGGATAGCTACTGCTGTCACAAAAACACTTTCACCAGGATTCTTGCACAATTAGGTATCAAATTTAGTTTATACAAAGAGTCGAGAACTATTTGCACATCATCGGAGGTGTGAAATAGTGGTTACATAAAGTTTATGTTTGGCTGACAATATCTCATTTTAGAGGAGATTGGAAAGGAAAATACAACCGAACTTTTACTTAGACCTTTGAGTAGAATTTAATGATGAATGAGCAATTTTGACCTTTAAAACAGTTAATATTCACATATTCAGCATATCCCACTTGAAGGAAACTTAACCCAAGCCTTTTATGCACATTGCAAGCCAGATTGTTGATTGGGTTACACAAAATGGGCATAGGGTCAGCTCACATTGGTAGATCTGAAGCATTATAAACATATGAGCTAGTGATTAAACTGACAATCATAATAGCGTTCACTTTCTGTTCACTTCTTCTGAAACTATCTTTAGAGGGTGCTAGGGAGTGCTTACGTTAGAAGTATAAGCTATGTTATCTTGTGGTATAGCTTTTGGCTTTTATGATAAAAATTTATAAAAATGTATGGGTAGACTAGTCATTTACTTGGTCAGACTTAGTTTGGGTGAGCTTATAAGCTAATTTTAACAAGTTGAGGAATCTCAGCTCTTGTAAATTGGATTTAAAAGGTAGCTTATTTAGGATATTAACAAATATATATAGAAATTATAAAGCTATCTTAAAAGCTATTTTGACCAAGAGAATAAGCGTTCTCTAACAGCCTCTTCGTAATTTAGGTGATTCTAACCCAATTCAAGTCAATGTCACTTTTAAAGGTTAAATTTGGCATTTGACTTTGTAAACTGGACCTACGACTTGATTCAAGAAAGTGGAGTTGGCAGATCCAAGAATGATTTCATGTAATGAACTTAAAAGTATGACTCGTTACTCTTCCACTCAATCATTATGTAAGTGAAGGAAATTAGGATTTGACAGTTCATACAAAGTGGTTACCATCTGTTTGCTGAACATGGTACCTTCCATTGGACAAATATCAATGATCTAATAGAAATTAGTTGCAAACTCTCTCTTTTTGGTGATAGAGGTGAAATAGGAATTTTGGTTCTCTCAAGGGCTGTTCATGAATTTTACAGAAAATGAATATTAAAATTAAAAGTGATTCGTCATTATCGCATGAGAATGTCTGGAGTGTTTACTCGATAGGTTGTTAAGTTTGATATCAAAACTGCATGGGAACTTGTAAAGAGGTGGTAATATGGTGTGCTTTGTTGTGGCAACTACAAGACCGCTCAAGCAAGGTTCAAAAACACGATTTTATTATGCGTATGTCCAATATTGGGGGATTAATCAAATTATACAACAATTACTTGGATTATGCAGAATTATGCATTTTTCATATTTTTAATACATATATTATTTGTCATATATAATAATATAACAATTCATGAAAAATATAAAACACTCACAGCAAAACACTAACAATAATATCCAAGCTATTCAAATCAAAGTCGTTATACACTTAAAAAGTAAAACTATTAAAGGTTCATAAGCTAAAGACACTTAAAAGTAAAACTAATAAAAAATTTCATAATTGGATTGGTGATTACTTGGATTATGCAGAAAGATACATTTTTGAAATTTTAATACATATATTATTCATTATATAAAAAATATAACAATTCATGAAAAATGTAAAACATTCCTAGCAAAAGATTAACAATTATACCTATTCAAATCAAAGTCATTATACACTTAAAAGTAAAACTATTATGAGTTCATATTTCATTAACTAAAGACACTTTCAACTAATATAATTCTATCTAATCTTCCTCATCATTCTCGTATCGATCACTGGCAAAAACGGTGATGGGAGACAACATCTATTAGCGTCTTCACTTGGAGGCGATTGGAGGCTGTTATCAGAGACAACTGGTGGCGTTGGGGAGGAGATTGCATGGAGGTGACTAGGTTTACAAATTTAAAGAAGCATATATTTTTGGATCTTTTGAGGCAGTGATTGAGAGACCTTAGGGTAATTAAGTGCAGGTAGGGTAGTGGGGGCAAACGGGTCCGGTCGGGTCGGGTCAATTATGACCCTACCCAGCCCATTTAATAAACGGGTCTATGCTACCCGACCTATATAACACAAACAATCCATATGATCCTTTTCCTTGTCCAAGACTTCGCTAATGCATTCACATGGAAATGCATCGACTGCAGGTACCCAAATCAAATTCTGCCTTAACTCTAGGATGGTTTGGGCTGAATTTGATATATGCAGCATTGGTAAGCAAACTTATGTTAACTGAGAAATGAGACAATTTTATTGCGTGTTTATTTCTTTCTTACTTCTCTAATTCCCCATCTTATTTCTGTAATACTATGATCTTGTAGTAACATTCAAATGGCTTGATGATAGAGAAAATTGCGACAAAGATGGAGATGACATAGGGAGAGGGTGAGCAAGAACTTGAAACAGATCAAATGCATCATATATAGAGCAATATTACTTTCACTAAATTACAATAGAGAAGAAAAAACTACAGCTCTATATTACAAGGAAATATTAATTGGTTCTACACTAGTACATCATCATAGCAAAGAAAACTATCTACTACAAGCTTATTTTTCAAAGAAACAGAGGAATCTAGTTCAACATACTGAAAATATAGAGTTCAGCATACTGTTGTCAAGCCTGAGAACTTCATCAAACAAGCAGCAGACTGAACATAAGACACGAAAATAGACAAACTAAAGCTATAGAACTAGATAAGACATATACAACACAACCAGCCATCAAGAATCTTCAATATTCATCACCTTCAGAGTCAGTACTAACCTCATCATAACCTCGAGAGCAGCAAGATGTTTGTGACCAAATGCTATCTGTTTAAGGAAACAAAGTAAAAGCATTCAATTAAAGAGATAATGCTTGCCAATAAACCAAACCAAAGAGACTATAGATTAGATTATTTCAAGTAATCGATGTTTATACTAAATCAAAGAGACATAGCATGAAGAGATTCCTACTTGTGTTGACTTAGATTCTCCAATATTTAACTGCATGATATCTTCGAAGAGCTCATCCAATTTCAGTTGCATCTCATCTATCATTACTAAGAAAATGAAACAAAAGAACCAACTAGCAGATTCACAAAATGTATTTTAATGTAATGAAACTTGAAAGAAATTGTATAAGTAATTGTTTACCTTTAATACTATACAACCAATCACGTACGCAAACTAGAGCCTCCACAGTGTTGGACTTAAGAGTGCTACGGTATTGGTGTAGAATTCTCCTGCTTACACTAAATGTACTCTCGGAAGCAACCAAAGAAATTGAGACTGCCATAATGTCCCTTGCAAAGAGATACGAGTTTGGGGTATCTATGTTGATTTTTCTTCCAAAATGAAAGGATATCGAGTTGAGTACCACGATTAAATATTGGCTCATCCAAATATAGCTCTAATTGTGTTTTTTGAGAACTAAGAATTTCTTCACTTACAAACATGTCAAATTCCTAAGTCTAAAAAACATGAGAGAATAAGGACATAGAAAAATGCCAAAATCTAGAAGATGTACTAGTAAATTGAGAAAGAAATTACCCTTAAGACGTCAATGCAGTGGTGTCATCATACTCTCGAGAAGTTCCCTCCTTTTTGATCCCTCCAAGTTCATTCTTCTATTAATATCAATGTTACTCGAGTACTCATTAAAGAGAGAGAATCCTGTCTTTTACTTTCTTGAGTTCTATGGAATTTCATCCATATAGTCCAAAGTAACAAAACTCCACAAATCACAATTGGTACCAAAGTAACAAAACTCTACAAATCACAATGGTATCGAGGATTCAAAATGCTAGTAATAGCAAGTAGAACATGTACTTGCTCCAATAATTTTCGAACTCCTTGTACATTTTGGTTGCTATCGATTTCACATATTCATCACTATCCTCCATCCTACTCTTTAGAATACATTGCACAACAAATACTTGAAGAAAGTAAATATTAGCCGTTGGATAATTTGTACCGGAAAAAATGCAAGTGACATTATAGAAAGTTGCTAAGAACCTCTTAACCTTCTTGATCTTATTCCATTCTTCTTGGGATGGATAAGATCTCGAGTAGTTTGAATCATTTAATTGCATGTGCATAGATGCACGTTGATAATATAAAGCATTCTCAAGCATTTAAAAAAGTAGAAATCCATCTTGTTGGAACATCTTGTGTCAAGCTTTTCTTCACTTCCACCGATTCATGAGACACACATTCAAAAAACTTTTGTTTTCTTATTTGAGAGCCGTTTATATACTTGACATTTTCACGAAGTTTATCAATACAACAATGAATTTCTTTTGAACCATTTTGAACAATCAAGTTAAGGATATGAGCACATCTATTATCTAATATGATAAAATTTCCCATCCCAAGAGGTGCTTCTTTCATATTAAGTTATTTTTTCAAAATTTCAATAAATCAACAACACATCGTTTGCGGAGGCATTATCAAGAGTGAATGAAAATAATTTCTTTTCGATTTTTCAATCAACTAACAACTAATAGATCTTCTCGCAAATAGTAATATTGAATGAGGCAGCGACATATAAAAAAGTTGAGGACTCGATTTGGTAATTTCCACTCGTGATCAATGTAGTGAGCCGTGACACAAATGTGACCATCAGTAGCTATGGATGTCCACAAATCGGACATCCAATTAATTCTACCCAAAATTGGCTCAAAATCTTCTTTTAGCCTATTTTTCTCTTGCATAGATTTTAAGAGCATTGACTTCAGCCGTATTTCTTGTTATATGTTTTAGATCATGATAAAGATATGAGAGGATTGCTTGAATACCGTCATCCTCCACAAATTGAAATGGTAAATCGTGCTTAATGATGACTGAGACTAAGAGCTCCCTAAACTTATCTGGATCAAAATTAAATTTTGAGGAGCTCATAGTTATAATTAAAATCTTTTGAATTAGATAGACCCTCAGGGCCTCAATATGCTCTTTAGTAGCTTTCTTGCAAATTGTCATGTGTTTTGCTCCACGGCTCCCTTTAGCTGCATATCTTATTCCACACTTCTTACATATTGAAAATTATTTCCCCTCCGCCTCCATTTCAATAAGGTCAAGCATTTTCCAAACTTTAGATGTTTAACTTTCTTTTTTGCTTTATTTCGATTATCTCTTTGCTTTTTTTATGAATGTTCTGATTCTTCTTCATTAGATGCATCCATTTCTATATTATCCTCTATAATAAGATTATCAGTATGATTGAACTCCATTTAATTGTCAAAAAATTATAAAACTGCATAAGATTCACAAAATTACATAAGATTTGTAAAAATACCATTTTCAATCTCAAGCAATCAAATAGCCCTAAAAATAAGTTATAACTTGAATCCTTGCTCAACATCTCGATCAAAGACCTCAATTTTATATAAAGAAGTACGAAAATCTAATTACACCAAAAACGACCAAGCATTAGAACAAAAATTAATGGGCACATCCGAAATTCTAGAAACCAAGCATATGCACAAAGATATACAAAACCCTAGCTGATCAGTAAATGTCCAAACATCTCACAATCAAACCCACAAAAAAGTTCAAACTTGCACCTAAGTTTTAAGAAAATTGGAGAACGATCAGAAATAGAAAGAGAATGAGACAAGTAGAGAGTTGAAAAGAGAAGTTATAGCAAAGTTCTCGCCGTTGCTGCCCTCGCTGCCATCGCCAGTCGCCGTTGTCCTCTCCTCGCTCGTCACTAGGGTTTCAATCACAGGAGATTTGAGAATAAGAAGCGGAAGAATGAAGGGATGTGAAAAGAATCTGCGGGTCAAAATTAAAGAGTAGTTAGGATCATATACGGATAAACCCAAACTACCCATGGGTAGTTAGGGTTGACCTGTATGTGACCCGAACCCATTTAACCTGACCAGAACCTGTTATTAACTGGTCGGGTCGGGTCGGGATAATGGGTTAGTCATTGCCACCCCTAGGATAAAGTCGGATTGGGTAAATTATGCGCCTGCATAATTTCACTATGCGGGCATGTACTCTTTAACTGCTCAATTATGCGGTTCGGATTTCAGCTATCCAGCACGTTTTTTTGTTGGGTTGGAGTACTCGTGTAAATACTTGGCCGGGTAGAGCATCTTTTTAACACTGCACTCAAGATAAGACTTTAATACATTGACATCTCTTAAGGAGAGTGCTGTTTGGATTTTTGACCTTTTAGATATTATTTTATGGTGTCAATTTCTAGATGTCGCTGTGGGAAAGTGATGAAATTAATATTTGTTCTTAAGCTGTGAATAGAGCGGCTTTTTGTGTGACTTATTTCTAAGAAACGCTTCGAACTAAAACATTACCATTTGAGACTTGTTGTGACAAGACCTGATGTCCTAGGCTAGGTTCCCTTGTGTTCTGTTTGATAGTTAGAAATTCACTTATTCATCATAGAATCCACCTGGTTTTAGGTGAACTTGATGGATAGAGTAGGAGTTCCTCCTTTATGTATTAAAAATTATTAAACATTTGAGAATACCAAACTACTTGAGGTTTTCTGGAAAATAGCTGGTTTAACAAAATAGTGTATTGCTACGTATCGAAGGGTACATGCTTGAAATGTATCATGAAATGCAGTTTGCTTCAATATAACTGGCAAATTGTTGTTGGGTTAACGGATTAGTGCATGGAAATTGTATTACCTTAGTTATAGCCCTCTAAACTTTATTTAGTCAAACAATTATATGATAATTAAAAATGATCATGAAGGCAATATCTCGCTTGATCTTTCTATTGTTACTGAAACACTTTACCGCATGTAGCATTTACATTTAAATTAATGGTTACTCGATACTGCCGTTCGATACTTGTTAGCCGTAGGTCTAACGCTTAGAAAATTACGTAATAGTGTTCTTTCTCAAATTAATCTTTTTAATGCATTATTGCTGTGGTAGAATCTCATTGGGTGCAAACTTTAATTTAGTTTGGCTATTGCAAACCACACTAAAAAAAAGAGAAATTTTTATGTTTTTATTCCTTTATATTACTGAAGTGATTTACAACTGAACTAACACTGAAAGAAATTTATCTCCTTTTTCCGTGTTGAGATTTTAGCCATAATCAGTTTTTTTTAAGAATCTGACACTGTGCATGATTCTAACTCGTATATTGCATCTTTATATATTTGATAGTTTAACTTATTTATGTTACAGTTGCGGAAAGCTCATTCTTGCCAATTGGTAATATTTCAGCGTCGAGTACATCTGACTCCGTTGACGGTGCCATTCGACTGCATGGCATTATGCAAGAACTGCACTACTGTGAGAGACCGCCAGGCTTTGACAGCAATTTCATCGCTGATTCTTGCTCCAGTTAAAGCAGTGATCTCCGTGAGCTTGAATTTAGAAACATATTAACCAAATGTTTACTGTACTCACAAATTTGAATTGCCATGTGGTTAGCTTATCTGCAGCTGATGTCACCTTCTCAAATTTCTTCACATACTTGCATTATGTCCTATAAGGCTATAACAATGCACGTGTATGTATTATGTGCGCCCAAGTAGCTCAAATTTATCTCCACGGGTCTTGTTCATCTCTGTAACAGATTATGCAGGTTTTGACCCTCCAATTGGAGGAGCAAACGGATCGCAGTTTGGCTGAGAATTGATATGGAGAATCCTATTACCTACTAAAATGATATTGTCTAGTTTTTGTTATTTTTCTATTTTTGGTAAAAGGTAATATATGTACCTTTTTCTTTTATTTTCGAGTCTATAAAGAACTGTTTCTGGATGTAGGCAGATAGCTTTGGGAGAATAAAAACCTTAGTTTTTGGCTGCAGCTGTTATATTTGTGCTTTCTTTTCTTTCTATGCAAGAGATCCGATCTAGTTGCGGCCCTAGATGGATTGCATCAATGAATCAAGTATATGCGTCATATTTTCAATGCTTATAGTTTTTCGTATTTTGCAAATTTACTTGAACAACAATAAGGCTCTGTTTGACAAAGGGTTAAGTAAGAGGGGTTAAAGAGAATGATTAATGTACTTAGCCCATTCGATAATTTGAGGTCCCGTTTGGCAAATGGTTAATGAAAAGGGGTTAAAGAGAAGGATTAATGTACTTAGTCCATTTGATAATCCGAAAGACTAAATTATTAACCTGTTAAATAAGTTCTATTTTAGCCCTTATGATCAGTTTTAGTGTTTGGGAATAACAATGATTTTGATTATTTTTTTATAATTATAAGGGTTAACTCTTATTCCATCTAAATAGGAGTATTAGTAAACCCCTCATTTTGGGGGATTAACTCATTTTAACCCCTCTAGAGGAGTTAACTTAACCCTTCTATATTTTTTATGTTTGGCAAATTATGGAGGGTTAACTCACTTTAACCCTTATATAGATTTGTTACGTTCGGCAGGTTAAGAAGGGGTTAAGTCTCCTTAACCTTTTACTTAACCCTTTACCAAACGGTACCTGAAGGATTAAATTATTAACCCGTTAAATAAGTTTTATTTTAGCTCTTGTGATCAGTTTTAGTGTTTGGGAATAACGATGATTTTGACTATTTTCTTTATAATTAGAGGGGTTAACTCTTAATCCTTCTAAATAAAAGTATTAGTCAATCCCTTATTTTGAGTGGTTGACTCATTTTAATCCCTCTAGAGGGGTTAACTTAACCCTTCTATATTTTTTATGTTTGGTAAATTATAGAGGGTTAACTCACTTTAACCATTGTATAGATTTTTTTATGTTTGACGGGTTAAGAAGGGGTTAAGTCTTCTTAACCTCTCACTTAACCATTTGCCAAACGATACATTGAATAATTTTCTTTATAAATTTACTGAAACTAAAGTGTATTTTCTTCTTGAATGTGCGACAGTTTTCTTGTCTTCTTGAATGTGCGACAGTTTTCTTGTCACATGTAATATATGATGCATCTGACTACGCCCTCCGGGATTAAAGGTTTTTACGTTTTTTCAATTTAGTTTGAGATACGAAGAAACTGCATCACCAGTAATTTACTTTGGGGACTAAAATCGTACCAAAATGAAGCATGCCTCCTGCATGGAAGACGCAGGCAGCAGCGTGCTCCTCACGTGTTTGCAGTATGTTACCTTGTGCATGCCACGTTCCCCTATAACTGCTAGTCCCAGCTTAAATCATGCATTGTTATTTGTCATGAAGTGCATCTTGCAAATTTAGTGTATAAATTAATGCCTCAGCCCCTGATTAAATGAAAGGAAAATTTATGTTTTAATTATTAAGTGCTTGTTGTCTCTAAGATTGCAAATCCTTAGGGGTGAAAGAAAAATGTTGGCATCATTATTTGTAACAATATATATATTGATA